ACCAACTCTGATGAGCAATTACCAGGTTCCTGGCCATTTGCAGTAGCTGCTAATATCAAGTCTCCTCAGCGACTGCAGTTCCAGGAAGCCACAGAGAGCTCTGTCCCCTGCCGCCTGGAATTTCATTTGGCTCTGGTGCCCAGACCGTCTAGAAGGGGTACAATGGCGTGCCTGGGCACTTAAGCCATTTGTGGTAAAAGGATCCGGATGTGCAAATGGCTGAGTGCCCTAATATTGGATTGTTTTTTCCACTAGATGAAAAACAGATTTTTTTCTTCCAGCTGGCTGCAGCTCCATTCAAGTTATTACAAAAAGAACTTACATTGGCACATTATATACATCGGAAGTCTTTAACAAAGAAGGCCTTGCTTGGTGCAGGGCCCAGCATGGTGGACCTGTGGTGGCTGACATTTTCATTCAGTGGTTACAACTGTGCACGGCACTCTGGGGGCTGAGCTGAAGAGAAAACGTGTGAAGAAGGAAGACAGCAAGGCAAGGAGAGGGTCTGGGCACCCCAGGCTGAGGAGACCTTGAAGATCCATGGCAAGGAGGGCACAAGACAGAAGCGGGAATCACCAAATACAAGCAGGGTGGGGGGTTCCTGGCGGCCAGGCTAGATCCGGGGGTTGGAAATAAACATCGTCTCAGGTCACCTGTTACCTGAGCAATGACACAGGTGATGGGCTAAGTAGGCAGGTGAAAGGGGGTGAGGCCAGAGGCAGGGAGGCCAGTTAGGAGGTTTCCTTGACAAACGTTCAGTAAGCTCCTACTATGTGCTGGCAACATGCCCAGTCTGGAGGTGCGACAGAGAAAAAAGACGGACCAGATTCCTGCCTACCCAAGGCTTCCATTCTTGGATGATAGATACTCGAGGAAACAGATATTTATGCGTCAAAAAGAAAATAAACAAAGCAGGAGGCAGCAGCTGGGAACCGGCCATGTGGGGTATTGGCTTTGTTCCAACCAACAGTGAACACAGTGAGATTAAGACCTTCAGAGGGATTTAGATCGATTACTGAAACCATGCATTTCCCTTTCAGAGGGTGTGTAAGCCCTGGAGGATTGAACACTCCAGAAATACACATTTGGCCCTTCAAGTCCATTTGCACGACTCCCCTCCCTTCCCTCCCTCCCACTCCCCTCTTCTCTAGGCTATGTGATGAGAGGAATCAGAATTTCACTGTCTCTTCCCATGAAGTAAGACCTTCCAGAGTGAGGTCTGAGCCTTTCCCTGTGCTTTCTTTGTAAAGCTCACACTCCTAATAGGAAACCTGGCCCGTGCGGATGCTCCACATGGGCAAAGGTGTTTTAAATGCAGTGTAGACAGAGCATGACTGAGCCATGTCTGGATGTTGTAATTTTTTTAGCCACACAAAAAGAGCAGGGCTTCCTTGGTGCTGCGGGTGATTAAGCCTCAAATATGTTAGATCGGAGAGCTCCGCAGCTGCCAAGGCAAGTCACCCAGTTAAATAGCGACTCTACAAAGATAGCACTGCCAGGAACTCCAGCCAACGGTGGGGCTGTGTGAAAACCTCAACCTGCGTCCACACCATCACCCCTAATCGCAATGAAGACCCCACCAGACACACTCTCTTAGGGCTCCTCTGCCACTTGGGAAAGGTGATTGCGTTCATTTGTGCCTTTGGTTTCTGGGCCATTTAGTGGTTTGGGGCACCTCTAGTTGAGGACATAAGAAGTAATTGGTCTTTTCAGGCCAAGGGTTCAGGCTAACGCCTGCTTATCCCCAGCATGGGGGTTAGTTGCGCTAAACAAAACTCTCTGGCCACACCAGCCTCCACTGGAGAGAGAAGGATCACAAGCTCCTGACTCCTTTCAGGAGTACGTGAGGGAATATTTTCCCTGTTGGATGGAAAGGAGAAACCAACTGGGTGTACCACAATTCAGTTCTGGCTAACCCAGAATTCGATGCCACCAGAGGTTTGCACAGACTCCATAAGTTAAGGGCTTCCTGAAAGCCGCCCTAATTTCAGATACCAGCCACGCTTCTGGGGGTCCCCAGCCACCTGCACTTCTGACCAACTGACTACAAATTCGGGGGTTTTCACAACCTCCTTGGGTTCAATAATTCTGTAGCATGACTCACAGTACTCAGTGAGTTACTCACCTATTCTCATGAGAGGTCTTATCCACCCAGATGGACTGTTAATTGCCCAAGGCCATGAGCAGCTTCTGAGAATTATCTCATGATCACGCCACCAAAACCCAGGTAAAGAGGTGCTATGATTGTCTCCAACAAGGAGGAATTACATTATATAAACAAGATAATGTGTGTAAAGCCTTTGGCACTGGGCCTCACACATTGGAAGCACTATAAAAAAATATTTTTAGGAAACTGAAGCCCAGAGAGGTTAAGTAACTTTCCCAAAGTCACACAGCTATGAAGAGGCAGAACTCAGGTTTGAATATAAGTAGGTATGACTGCAAAGGCCATACTATTAACTCAGATTAATTGGCACCTACTATGTGCCATATAGGTTCCTGCTCTTGGGAATCTTAAACCGAGCGCTAGAAGCAAAAACTCAGATAGGCATGATTCGAAGCAGACCGCAATAGGAGGTACTGCAGAGCTGGTGAGGACAGCGAGGGGAGCGACGGGGGGGACCCTGGAGATGGCATGCGAGGTGGGCCTTGAAGAATGGGTACAATTTTGACAGAGATGGCAGGAAAAGGCATCAGAGCAGATGGAATAACACATGCAAAGGCACTGAGACAGGATGATGCAGCGTATGAACCAGGATGGGGAGTTGTCCTTTGCAGCGGATGTAACGGCTGGGCAGGAGGTGCTGCAGGGACTAGGCCACAGGACAGGCGCCTCCAGATCATGGAGGATGTTGGCTACTGGGTTGAGGCATCTGTACTTCATCTCGGAGGCCCTGGAGGAGCAGCCCTGTCTCCAAATGTGGCAGATATTTGATCCAGATACCAATGTGCTCAGAACTATTTCATCAAGAAAACAGGCCCAAAGCACCGAGCTCAGCCCACAGCCATATCCAACCAGGGTGAGTGACCGGCCCTGCTCACTGGGGAGCCGGTGCCTACCAGCTCTGATGCCGTCTGGCCTGTGGCCCTAGGCTCCCTTTTGCTTTAGGAACAGAAGCCATCCAGTTACAAACGCACTGTTGCTTGGGTTCCCTGAATAAAACCTCAAGCACAGAAGGACTGCTATTTTATTATTTTAGGGCAGCCAGGTAGGTAGGTAGGTAGCATGACTGCCAAGGGAGTAAAGCCAACATCCAGCAGCATTGCTTGACAGCACAGCAGAAAGGAAGAGAAAATGGTCTTTCTTAGCACTAAAGAATGCGGCGCAGACACGAGGAATCTGCGCTCATCGCTGGGAAGCTGAAATCTTCTACTCCATGATGTATCTACTATTAGGTGGGTCCTGCAGCCACAGGCCAGTCGTACTCTTCCACATGTCCAGCAAATGGCTCCATCTCTGTTCATGAGATCGGAAGGACTCACGCGTGCCTTGAAATTCCAAAGCGTCCACCCACATTCTGCCCCCAGATCCAAGGAACTGCCAGAGTTGATATGGAGATTTTCTCACATTTTATATGATCGAGAAAAGAGTTGGTCTCCAGCTTGCATTTAATTCTGCTACCTTAGGTCTTAAGCTATTAAAACTTTATAGAATCCTTTCACAGCCTTCCCCTGGGACCTTCCCATGCCGGCAGGTGCTTCACTTGAGAATTTATGCTGTTTCCTTTCTCACTTTGAAGATTTCATGTCTCTCATTTTTGCATCTCACTTGGGCCAGAGTAGAACAAATTACCTTGGCAAAACTCGTCCTTACCAACTAGTAACAGTGCAGGAGAGAAACTAAATCCACACTTGAAATAAATCTGAGCAGAATAGTTTGAAGATCATCCAGAAATATTGTGCTACTGGCTAACCTAGTACATAGATATAGCTGCGTCTGGGTGTACGTATGTACCTTCTTCCTTCAACAGCAAAGGACCTCAGGGTGAAGACTCATCCCCACAAAGGCACTGCAAGAGCTGCAAGTGGAAGAGTCAGGGCTTTGGAACAGGGTGTGTGTGGTGGGTAATGCTTCAATTCTGCAACTGGTTATTTTGAAAAATAAAGTTTAACTAATTCAAACCTCTGATTATTGATTCTAAAATTTTCTTCCCCCAAAACAAACCAAGAAAGAGGCACCTGGCCCGAATCCAGCTGGTTTTTCTTTCAACGTAGCCTTAGTCGGTAGACGTGACCTCAGACTCTGAAATCAATCCCTCTTATGGGAAGGCAGAAGAGAAAGCCAGGAAGAGGGGCTGGGGAAGTCCCAGTGCGGCAGGCATCCAGCTGCCCCTGAGGTATAACCAGCGACCTTCACATTTCCAAGGCACCTTCTCCTCAGTTGACCCCCAAGATGTCCCTCAAGAAGGCAGACAGGTCACTATGAGCCTCGTCAGACAGATGAGGAAACCAAGGTTAAGAGCTTTGGAATTCTGTTCCTCCTTCATAACAGTATACAAGGTGTAGTGGCTTTAAAGTCTTTCAGCTATTTTGTGGGTGCCTCCCTTCAGTTCTTCCTGTAAGTCCATTTGTTCTGACTGAGCTTTTCCCAGTCCACTCCCTTAAGCAATGGTGGGATAATGGAAGGAACTGGCTGGAACCTCCGGGATATGGGATCTGTTGGGCCATCACTCAGGTGTCATCCGGGCGCTTCCCTATGACTTTGACATTTGGAACAAAGACGTGCTCAGCAGGAAGAGGCGATTTCAGATGCTTCACGACTCACAAACACCTCCCTCCAAAAGCACATCTTAAACTTCGGAAAAACGACTAAATAAAAAGATACATAATCCTTGCCTGGAACTGAATTTTTTGGGGGGGGGTTGGGGGGGTGGGTAGGTGTACAGCTCTATCACGAATCATACTAATTCTACTCTAAAATTACTCTTGACCCCTCAAAGCAGTCAATCCAATTGCATCCCTCCAGACCATGATTCAGCCCTTCTCAATGCTAAAAATGTCATTCTTCTCTCCGACAGCTTAAAACAAATTGATGTATTTATATCCTACCAATCTGTAAGCTCTCGGGGTGTGAACTGGTTGTTTACTTTAAAGAGCAGATAAAAGTAAGAATTGTAATCATGGTGGCTCTGTGCTGAGGGTTGAATGCCAAGAGCAGACAGAGCTCCTGGGTTCACATCTGATAACCACTTCCCCAGAGTTTGCAAGGGGAGAAGATGCTCCTTGCCGGGAGTGATTCTGAGGGAGGAAAAGGCCCACCTATGAGGTGGGCTGATAATTTCACATTTGTGCGTGCGCTCATCAGGCAAGTGTGGATAATAGCGGCTGGCTTCACGGAGCGCCCACTGCGCGTGCTGGCCCAGTGCTAGGCCCTTCTCCTGGAAGGAGGCATTTAATCCTCACAGCAGCCTTTGAGGTGGCTGCTGGCATCATTCCCAGGGTACCATGGAGGAGACTGAAGCTCAAAGAGGCTGAGCTGGGAAGCACGGGGCAGAGCCCCACCAGGCTCTTAGCCCCAGGCACCCAGGTTCCCTGGCCACCCAAGCCCAGACACCATAACCCTTGTAAGAAGCTCAAACAAACTGACTGTGTTCATAAGAAAAGACCTTTGTGCAGCGGGGCTGTGCCCCATCTTGGTGCTTCAGGGCAGAGATGCTCACAGCAATGAACATAAACAGACAAGGCCCAACTCGCCCAACTTCTTTCCCAAGGACAACACTCTGAACAGCCTGACGAAGAACCAATGTTTCACTTCTCTACAAGCTGAGTCATATCCAGAGTTTAATTAACATAAAATACTGGAATGGCTATCTTCATTTTCACTCATGCGTTTAGGGTCCCCACTGATTGGTAAAGAGTTGTCCTTAATTTTTCTTGCTCAGATGGTTTGGTCATCTTCCTCATTTAGTGAAAATTGGACCCATAACACTGAAAAGTTACATGTTTTAATAAAAGTGGATTTGTGACGTGGGCTTACTTGTGTTTACAACTTACATTGGCAACAACACAGTAATTTACGTGTCAGAAACCAGGGCTTCTGCCCCCAGAGGCTGCAGAGCTACCTAGGAATGTCACACTGTGCTTACAAAATGCCATACTGGGCCCCCTCAGGTGGCATTGCTCACCCAGACACAGGGCAGCCCAAGGACGACCAGGGCGCACACTGCGGAAGAAACCTGTCTCTCTAGGAAGAGACTCGGATTCAGAACCAGAAGCCTGGGCAGGACTCTCGGCTCAACCACAGCCGGACTGGGGGGGCCTCGGGGCCTCCAGGCAGGGCTGAAGGAGAGTCATGACTGGATCAGGCGTGTGGCTGCCATGAGAGGGGCCCAACCATCCGGGTCCTCTTCCCTTCCCTGCACACCCATAGCAGCGCTCTGGGAATGTGGGTGATGCCGGATTTCTGCCCAGGAGGGCTGTGTGGTGGTTGAACAGTGTCCCCCTAAATTCACGTTCGCCCAGAACGTCAGAATGTGACCTTATTTGGAAACAGGATCTTTGCAAATGTCATTAAGATGAGGTTGTACTGGGTGAGAGTTGGCTCTACACCAGTGGCTGGTGTCTTTAAAAGAAGAGAAGAGACACAGAGGGAGACACACTGAATAAGGCCAAGTAAAGACAGAAACAGAGATTGGAGTGATGTGTGCACAGGCCAAGGCACAGCGAGGAACACCAGCAGCCCCCAGAGGCCTGTAGAGGTGAGGAAGGATCCCCTCTAGAGCCTGGGAAGGGAGTGGGGTCCTGCCAACGCCCTGATTTTGGACTTCTGGTCTTCAGAGCTGTGAGAGAAGTTTCTGTTGTTTCGAGCCACCCGTTTGGTGGTACTTTGTTACGGCCGCCCCAAGAGACTGATGCAGGTAATGGCAACAGCTACACCACCTGGACAGGCTCCAGCAAGCCCACTGCCCTCACCTCTCAGAGGCCGTGGAGGAGGACAGCGGGGCTGGGCAAGCTTGTCTGAAGCGCAGCCAGCGTGGGAACCCGGCGGCCGGGGGCCCAGGCCAGAGCAGCAGGCAACTCCAACAGTCTGACCAACAGTTTTTACCACACCACCACAGCTCTCCCATCAAGGGAGGAAAAATGTTCATTGAAGTGTGATCTGCAAAGGCACAGGTAAAAGTCTAAACAAAGATGTGCTGAGTGCAGGAGGGTTGGGCAGATGGGTTCACAGCATCTACTTATTTACCAAACACCTGTTACCCAACAGGCAGGTGCTGTGCTCAGCGCTAGGAACGTAAACCTGCCTGGGGATACAGGCACCTGAAGGCACCAGGCCTGTGCATGGCAGGGACTCAGTCAAGTTCAGCCAAATGGATTTATAAATGAATGAATGAGTGAGTCTAATAGAGGAAACAGAATTTAAACATCTAAATGTACTCAAGGTGGGAAGGGGACTTGAGCTACAGAGGAGAGAGCAGTGAATTCAATCTGTGAGCAATCTGGTAAGGCTGCCTGGAGGTGGTGGCACTTGGTCCAAGCCTGAAAAATTGAGTAGAGTTTTAAGGACTGGAATAGGCCACAAATCAATATATATATGTATACCCAGAAGTAAGGTGGATATTTCTGAGAAGCCTGCACAAGACCAAATATAACCAGATTCGGGAACACTGAGGCATTTTTATATATGTCAGAAGGGTCACACCAGATATGGGTCCCAGAGGGTGTCCTGGAGGGGAGGTGAGCTGAGGGCTGAGCTCAGTGCCTTTTTTTTTCATCCTGGAGTAGCTTGGCTCAGGGCCAGAACTTGTGTGGGAGGCATTGTCCCCTTGGGGTCACACTAGCCCACTGGATTGCCCCACCTTCATCAGGGTTGTAGTCACATGAATAAATAAACCAAATTAGGCATTTCTGGGCTAGTGGTGATTTGGGGGTGAAATATGATTGTATCATGTTTCTACCTGCAGCCAGAGTACAATGGAGGCTCCCTCCAACCCACACAGGTCCAGGGGGCTGGCACTCTTTGGAAGATTGGGCCATCGCCCGGCCAGGACTCAGCTCATGGACGCACATACAGAGTCGCTCCACGTGGCCCGCGTCTCCCTCCTGCACTCAGCGCTTTCCAGGTAAGGGTTTCAGGAGGCGGAGGGATGCGGCGGGGGTCTGCTTTTGCTCCAAGCTCCAATATCGTGGGAAATTTTCACCCATCAAAAGAGAATATACAAAGACACCCAGCATCTGTCAACAAAAAGATTAATCAGTAGTCCATCTAAGAAAGAAATGGAAAATTTTACTCCAGCCTACCTGAGGATTATAAACCAGGAGACAGTCTTTCAGAAAGCTCTGAGGACTGTTCTCCCTGCTAGAGGTCAAAGCACAGTTATATAAGTTTTTGGACAAAGGTTTATATATCAACTGACTTATTATTGACAGTTTACACAATCCAGATCTGCATGTACAAAGCAAGCGGTGGGTCATGGTTCACGTGGCCCCTTCCAAGATTAAGAAGGAAGATTATCTCCTAAAGAGGTCTGGTTAGTGCACCTACACAGTCCACACTAAAGGGGAGGGAGGAGGCCCAAACAGGCAAATAAAAATTCTGTTTAAATTTTTCTCGTCGTGCCATAAAATAAGAATTTTATTTCATCACATCTATTGGCATCTTGCAAAAGGATACTTTTTTAAGGTAAAATAATGACTCATACAACTATAAAATGAACACCTACCAAAGATCTTATTTAATTCATTAATTAATGAGGGAACTAGTAAGATGTTACTGATGGTTTAAAGGAGAATTGAAAGAATCACAATAAAGGACTCTGAAATGAATTTGCAAATAGATGCAAAACCAGTCTGTCCACAGGGCGGTAATAAATTGCTTTCCAAGAGCCGCACTTCATTTGCATTTCAATGGACAGGAATCATTTGCATCATTATCAATGTTCTACAACTTACAAGTTGTAAAAAACCACAAAGACAGTGAAAGGCAGAGATAACGGAAGGGTGTGCTGGGCAGGCCACACAATCCTCTTTCTTGCCTGATAAGCTGCTCCCATAAACTCTGCCTTTTCCACGGGTGGACCATCTGGGCCTCTGAGCCAGGTCTTCCTCTGGGCACCAGACCCTCCCTCCCACCAACCATGGTCCTCACTTCAGCAACAGGCCCTCTGTCTCCTGCGACATCGTCACTTTTGTGACGGCTACGGGATCATTCCCAGCAGCATTAAAACAAGCTGTTCTATCTCCTGTCAAAAAAAAGAAGAAAAAATGTTTTTAAAGGAAAGGGAAAAAAAAATCCCTTGATCCCACTTCTTCTGAAAGCTAGCACTCCTGTCGTTCCTCTTCTTTGTAGTAACACTCTGAAAAGTTCTCCACATTCTCCCATCTCTGTCCCTCTCTTCCTATGCTCTCTTAAGCCCATCCACTTGGGGTTTGCCCACCATTCCTCTGAAGGTGCTTGAATTAGTCTGCTCTGGTCACCATAACAAAGTACAGCAGATTCGGTGGCTAAAACAACAGAAATTTCTCAACAGTTCTGGAGTCTGGAAGCCCAAGATCAAAATGTTGGCAGCGTCAGTCTCTCCTGAGGCCTCTCTCCTTGGCTTGTAGACAGTCATCTTCTGCCTGTGTCCCCACATGGTCTTCCCCCTATGTGTGTGCGTGTGTGTCCTAATCTTCTCCTCTTATAAGGACACCAGTCCTATTGGAGTAGGGCCACCCCAGTGACCTCATTTCACCATAAATTACCCCTTTAAAGGTGATGCAGTCACATTCTGAGGTACTAGGGGGCTTAGGGCTTCAACATTTGAATTGGGGGGACACAATTCAGCCCGTCACAGTGCTCTTGTCAAGGTCAGCAATGACCCCCATTACTCACAGTCCCATCCCCCACTGGCAGCTTCTCGGCCCTCTGGGCTGGTTCCTTTTCTTCTCTTTGACTTCCTGACTTTGAAAGGCTCCAGGGCTCAGACCTCCGTCCTCCTCTTTTCTTCATATGCCCTCACTCCCTCATCCTCGTTCAGTCTCACGGTCTAAATTCCGTCCATAGACTGATGACTCCCATTTGTACATCCCTAGCCTGGATCTTCCTCTCAAACTCTGGACTCCTATCTCCAAATGCCTACTGGGTATCTCCATGGGATCGTCTAATAGACATCCAAACTCAAAACTGAGCCCCTGATCTTCCATCCAAGACCTGCGCCTCACACTGTCTTCCCCATCCTTGTTGATGGCAGCCCCATCACTGCAGGTTCCATCGTCTGGGCCAAAGCCTGGAGCCATCCTCGACTCCTCTCTTTCCCTCACACCCCCCATCCAATCACCTCTCACCACTCCCGGCAACCACCCTGGTCCAGGCCACCATCATCTCACGTATGGATTACTGTAACCACTTGCTAACTGGTTGACCCTCTCTGTCCTCACCTCCCCACAGCATGTAATGTCATTCCTTTTATCAGAACCCTGCAGTGCCTCCCATCTCATTCAAAGTGAAAACGAAAATCCTTCAGTGGTTTCACTCAGCTCCCATCACTGGGCTTGAAACACACAGGCACACTCCAGCCTCAGGACCTTTGCACTGACTCTCTTCCCCCAGGTCTCCACTTGGCTACTTCTCTTGTGTCCTTCAAGTCTTTGCTCAAATGTCACCTTCTCACTGAGGCATCCCCTAACAGGCCTCGCCTTATTTGATATTGTAACCCCTCCCCAGCAGTGTCCCCTGCCCTACCTGGCTGCACTCTCAGCCCTTACCCCACACAACTTTTCCGTCTGATTTTGTCCACTGATGTCTCCCGAGCACCTAGAACCAGGCCAGACACCCACCCAGCTTCCTCCCTATTTCACACATTGTTCTTCCTGACACAAAAAAACATATTCGCTTTCCTATCAGGGCTCGCCCTGGTAGCCGCTGTAACCAGAGCCCAAGCCAAAGCCTTGGCACCACAAGAGACTCAGGACAGAGGCTGCCGGGCAGGTAGAGGAAGGGCTGGCAGGTGATTGTCAGGCGAAGGAGAGGGAGCCTGGGCCCCATGCCAACTCATCCCAGACTGGGCTGACATTCCCCAATGGAGTGAAGACAAGGGGGGAAGAGTGTAGCGGCCACATTAAAACAGGCTGGCTGGTCACATGCTGTTTAAACCATTAAGCTCAGGTGACCACCCCGGAGGAGTGTGCTGTGCTCGCTTCAACACTAAAGTGGAGGAATTCCAGGCCCAGGGGGCCATACTGGGAGCAGAGAGAACTAAGGCATTTTAGCACTAAGTGTGTCTTCGATGTTTTGCCTCGTCTCCGCTCAGTGCACCTGCACCACGGCCCTATGGCTGTGGACCCATCTCCCAGAAGGGGCCACTGAAGCTGGGGCAGGCCAAGTGACACACCCAAGGTCACCAGGCTGGTAGGACGAGAAGCAAGAATTCAAACCCAGGGCTCTCTGCCCCCACATGTGCAGTCTTCCCCTGAGAGGCGGGCGGGCCTCAGAGCAGCATCTGGGTCAAGGGCATCAGGCCTGCCTGGTGTCACTTCCTTGTCCTCGCCCCCTCCCCTGCCCCAGCTTCTGAGCAGGCGAGCCCTGACCTTCCAGAATCGGATTGGAGGGCACCAACGTTGGCAGAAGCTCATATTTTACCAGGAAAGACAGGCCACCATCGCTGTGGAAGAACAATCTGTGAGCAGCCTGCCCTTGTCCAAGACAATGCTTAGGCAGCTTGCAACCCAACGAGGCTCTGACCCAATTAACCTTGCAGATCGGCAGCACCTGACATGAGATTTGGGAACGGTTGGCAGCAGCGGCCATAATCCCATCCAGAAAAAGGAAAAGATGAGAAAGAAAGAAAAACATTCTAATGAAACCAATAACTGTGAAATGGCCTCTCCCAAGAGGGTTGTTTCGTCCCGGTGTGCTTGTCACTAGGGGAGCAAAAGGAAGGACTTCCACGGCCACACCAGGGAGCACCAATTAAGCACCTACCTTCAACCAGGAGAAGCCAGGCGCTAGCTGGGTGGAAGTATGTGCCCCAGGACTCAGAATGGTCCTCAGATGTGGCTGGATGATGGCCCTGCACATCCTTATCCAGTCTTTCTGTTCAGGTCCAAGACAGATACTGTGTGCTGTGTGCCTGCCCCAAGTGAAGGACCCAAGGGTATTTGGAGAAAGAATCCCTTGGGCTCATTTCTAGTTACTATGGGGCCAGAGAATTGCCAGTGGCAGAAGGGAGGGGTCAGTCTTAACCTTTCCCAGCTCTACAGAGCCCCCTGTTCTTACCCCCACCTAGGGCCCTGCTCACGCCTGGTGTGTGATGCTGCCCCCTGCTGGCCGCAGGAGGTGAGGCAGCCATGCTCCATCCAGCTCCAATGGGCACAGCCCAGAGCTGGGAGGAGACCAGCTTTCCCCTATGGGCACACTCTGGCTACCCTCGGTTAGGTCTAGATGTATCCTTGGCCTGTGGGCGTCAAATCCCCGCAGTGGGCAGGGACTGTGACCAGGCCCCCCCACCGCCAGAGGCCCATGAGCCATGAGAGTGACACACGGCAACCTAGTGGGAGCTAAAGGGCAGGGGATCTCCCACCATCAGCACCCATGGGGCAAGAACTGAGGACTCTGTGGGGTTTGTAGGGGCATTCTTGTGGATCCAGGGGTCCTTGGACTCAAGGAAGCTGGAAACTCTAGTCTAAAACCCTCCAACTGCATCTGGAAAGCTGAAGGTCATACAGCAGCAGGTCAGAGGCACTGCTGGGGCCAGAACCTGGGTCTCCTGATTCCTGGCTTCTGGTCCATTAAACCTCCCCCAAGGGGAGGACACATCCAGGTGCATTCAGGCCTCATGCATGCGCACATAAATTCCTGTGCACTGCCCAGCCCTTGGAAGGAAAGAGCATGGGAAATCCAGAAGAAGGAAAGAAAAGAGCACAGTCCTAGAGCCATCTGGGTGCCAGGCACTGTGCAAAGTGATTTGCATGCACCAACCATTTGATCTGCACAAAAGGTGACTATTACTCATGAGGAGACAAGGCAAAGAACTTGTTCATCTTATACAGCTGGCACAGTGCCAGAGCTATGTTTCAAGTCCAAAGGTCATGGCCTCCCCTTCAATCACACCTCTTCTCACATGCCTGCTCTGCCCTCCTGTTACTCCTATTCCAATCACTGATGGAAGATGCAGAACTCCACCCATCCTCAACCAGGCCCCACACATCCCTATCCAGGCTCCACCCACCCCTGTCCAGGCACCTCCCATCCTCATTCAGAGCCCCACCCATCGCAAGCCCAGGTGAATCCGGTTTGCTCCCAGCTGTGGATTTTCCAGGCAGCATTTTCATCCTGGATCCAGCTTGGTTTCGTTACCTGTGATTTGGGCCCTGACTACACTTTGACCTTTTTTAGTTCTATTAAAGTCTTAATTAAAGCTCTTTGGAAAAAGATAAAAGTAAACCAGAGCCAGTGACGCTTTATCCTGCAGAGTTTTGTTTGTGCATTATCCAAGAATCCAGCTCACATAGGAGAGAGACCTACCCCCCTGAAAATAGTACCCCCCTCTTTCCCACAGACAATGTGGGGCTACCTCAGGCTTTCTGCACGTTATGAACCACAATGGCTGCTCAGGCTTGGCAACATTTTGGGGTAATAGATTTAGTCCCAAAGATTGACGGGTAGAAAATGAGTGTGTAACCAGGACAGCCATGAATTGGTGCGGGTGCACAGGTTGCAGGGAATGGGGCGGGGGGGGGCGCGCAGTGGCTTGGGAGTTGCTCAGGACGATGGAGCCAGACCTGTCTAGAAACCCAGCTTCAGCACCTGGGGTCAGTCCAGAGACTGGGGCAGAGTCCCTCTGTAGCCATTGGTCCGCTTTGGAAAATGGGATAACACAGCCTCATGGGATTTTCACAAGACTCACAGATGGAAAACGTGTTCACAGAGATTTTGGGGATCATTCAAAACTCTCACTTGGCTTCACAAGAACTGGTTGCCCTTTGAATGACCGACCAGGCTGGCAGAAGGGTGTCCACTCATGGACAGAGAGACCATCTTCATGGGAGAAGGAGACGCGTAGGTTGGTTTCATCCAACAGCTAGCTCATCTCCACCATTTAAAAGATGACTTGATACTCCCCAAATGCCCCCGGGGTGAGCAATTGTTTTAAAGCCATGAGGAGGTTTGGAATGGATGGAATCGTCTGGAACATCTATAAAGGGAACCAGAAAGGCCCAGGCAGGCCATCATCAGAAGATCGTGCACAGGTTCACTTTGTAGACTGTCTGCCTGGACTGCCTCTGGCTGCCAACCTCAAGCCTCTGTTTGGCGTCTTGAGACCTGTTAAAAAGCTGATGTGGTTTTCCTGTTGCAGAGACAGACTGAGTAAAGGATAGAAATAAAGAAAGAATGGGGCTTCCCTGGTGGCGCAGTGGTTGGAAATCCGCCTGCCAATGCAGGGGACACGGGTTTGATCCCTGGTCCGGGAAGATCCCACATGCCTCGGAGCAACTAAGCCTGTGCACTACAGCTACTGAGCCTGTGCTCTACAGCCCGCAAGCCACAACTACTGAGCCCACTTGCCACAGCTACTAAGCCCGCACACCTAGAGCCTGTGCTCTGAAGCAAGAGAAGCCACCGCAATGGGAAGCCTGTGCACAGCAACGAACAGTAGCCCCTGCTTACCACAGCCAGCGCATCAACGAAGACCCAATGCAGCCAAAAGTAAATAAATTAAAAGAAAAAAAGAAGGAGTGTACCCACGAGGGATGGTTATCAGTGAATGAGAAACTTCAGCAGGTTTCTGGAAGACGAGAGAGTGGATGGGGCCACATGGAACCATGAAATGAGGCAGGGGGAGCCATGACACAGGATTCAGCAGAGTGGGGGAGCACGAGGAGGACTGGCAGTGGGATGGTTATGAAACACCCGCCCCGGCAGACCACTGGGCCATCAGGACAGAGGGGATCCACGCCCCAGAATTGCCTTCCTCCAACGGGGAGTCAGGGCATCGGGGCAACTTCCACCCACCCTCGAAGGAAGCCCAGTTGTTGGCATGCCCCGCCTGGTGTTAAAAGACTCGATTCAGGGAACCAACACAAGAAAAGAACATAACTGTCATTCATTGGGAGAGGAGGAGAAGAGGGTGGTGTAAATCAACTAAGTCCTCATGGACCCCGGCAGGGTCAGTAGTCACTCTCTCACTTGACAAGTGAAGAAGCAGAGGAAGAGGCATATCATGTAGCCTTCCAGCTGCCACCAGAGCAACTCTAGGCAGGGATTGTTCAGAGAGGTTGTCCCAGAGCAAGTAGGATGGGGGTGAGGGGTGGTGGTCAGGACACTGCTGCTCTTCATCCTAAACTCTTCCGTTCAGTTTGATTTATAACTGAACACCTATGGTATTGTGAAATCATTTTTATACATTTTTGAGATAAAAACCAGAACATTTTCATGAGACTGAGGGGGCCTGGGTGCCAATCACAATGGAGACACTCACTGGTTTCTGTTAGCTTTCCCCTGTCCCCAACTTATCTGAGGCAAATGCATTCACGTGCCAATTTGGATAGGAAAGAGGGAGAAAGGCTGAGGAGAGGAGGAGAAAAAAACATTTAGAACTCGGAGTATCCCCCGTGTTTTTTTTTTTTTTTTTTTTTTT